TGTCCTTTGGCCACTTTGGTGAGCAAGTTTACCATTATGGAAACTGCTCCACCACACCTGCAGGATGGTGAATCAGTGAGAGTTATACAACTTTGCTGTTTACTGGCGGTTTGATCTGCTGGTCTCTGCTGTGCTGCTCCCTCTGCTTACAGTAGTGCACAACCAGCTTTGAAGGACAGGTAGTTATCAATAGGAGTAAAAGTGATATGGAAAAGGAATAATTTGTCTTTAAACTTGGTGAATAAAAACTTGCAGTAGTGAGGACAATGACCAGAGAGAAAGAGACAAACTAATTTCAAATTAGAAGTCAATCTGGAAGTGATTTGGTAAAAAACCCCTATACAAAAAGTCACAGTGCACATGGGTTTCTGCAAATGTTATCACAAAGCCTCTAGCAATCCAGATAAACAAGTATACAGGTAAATGCCTGAACTCACTTCCTAGCTCAGCCCCCAAGGTTTGGACATGCCTGCTGGCTTGAGACCTAAGAAGCCTAATTCAGCTAAACACTTCAGGGTTCAGATTTGCATACTGGGTATCTCTAAATGACAGAGAAGTGGAAGAGCATTTGTAGAAATTGTTTTTCTAGCCAGTGCAATAATCCTGAACAAGTAGGACCAAGCTGTATTTTTGTGCCTATTAGTTTTTGTGCAATCAAATTGTCAAGCTAAAGGTAGGAAGCTCACCAGGCTTAGCAATCTCTCAGCATACTGTAAACCAAAAGTCTGCAGCTAGGCTTGAAAAGGTTGATCTTGATCAGAAGTAAGAAAGGTTAAATGCACAAACTCTCTTAGTCATTGGGATTTATTTGCTCAGTTCTAATTTTAACTTTGGTGAGCCCAGTAAAAGGTATCACATCACCGCCTGGGTAGCTGTCATACAAAAAACAATGCAGCTACCAACTTTCCTCTGTTGGATGACATATTTGGGCAGTAGCCCTTCAAAGTAAAGCTTCTTTAGTGCACATGGTTTTCCATTCATTATTTTCCTGATGCTGAAAGCAATGTTATTCATCCCAGAGAAGAATAGATACATTGTATTTCAAAAGTTTAACCAAAACACTGATTTTGCTGCAAGTTTTCCTTCTTTCAGGGCTTTTAAAACTTACACCTACAAAGTGGCTGCTGGGCAAAATCGTCAATGGGATTTGGTAGGAAAAAAAGCAAAAGGAAAACAGGATTGCAAGAGTGACTGCTACCTACAAAAATGTGGATGACGAGAAGAACAATTAAAAGAGTCCTCTCCTCATGAGATGAGCTAATGAATGCTAAACATGGAATGACTTTATTATAAAAGAAGAGACAAAAAGAGAAAAAAAATCAATTCTTAACACACTAAATGTGTACCATCCACATCTATAACTACCTACACATTCCCAACTCTCTTTCATGTTTTTGCCAACCTCACCTATCACACTTGTCCAGAAGAGTACCCAGTACCTTCTCCAGTCCTGCTCGTCTGCAGCCAGGAAGTATCATCCACTTCTCGGACCTTGCTAGATAGGTGTAACAGCAATGATAAACCATTAGCTATTCTGAAAGGCCACTCATATTGTCCATATTCTTTTCTAGTTGTTTGGCCACAGAAACATTCGTTTCCAGTCTTCTTTTACTGATGTCAAGCTGGTTGTTATCACTGCATCCAGCCCTGCTATCTGACCACCAAACACCCAAACGTACTAATCCTGGGGACACAGTCTTACCAAGGTGAGGCAAGATTCCTCTTCTCAAGAAGAAGATTCTTCTTCTCTGTGGCAGCTGGCGTGGGAGCATTTGGACACAATTCTGCTGGGAATTCAGCTCATTTGGTCTCCTCTTCCTCCTCCCAGGCCTTCTAAGTAACTGCCAGAAGGGACAAACCCTTATATTTGAAATACTGTTGCCCAGAGCAATAGGGGAAATGCTCCCCTCCCAAGTCACACACCTCCTGACTGCTTTTGGGACTTGCACCCTGAACTATGCAAAAGAAGCTGTCCAGTGTCATGGTGAAAGAATTGTGTCATAGCACTACAAAATATTTAGTTAATGCTGGAACATGGCATTCAAATACACTGCCAAGAGAAACTCTCTTTGTTTCTACTGGATCAAAAGCAATCACACCATGTTAACCAACCTGTGTTCTTACCAGTTCCTAGTTAGAGTCACTGCTCAAGGAAGACACTACACATCCAGGCAGATGGAAAAAGCAGTATCTGTTATATATGCAGCAACTTGACTGTTCTCCAATATTTATGGATCCCAACCATCTTGACTTCATTATGCCATGAGGGGGAAAAAAAAGTACAATAATCCTCTTTATGTCTCTTGTAATTGAATCCAATCATGATTATAATATATTGTAGGCATTTGAAGTAACTATTAATTACTGAATGCTTGCTTCATAATGAATTGGAATATTATCTGTTATAGATCAACTTTTTAATATATTCTCTAATGCTTCCAAGATGCTGTGGAACTGATCTATCCTTTAAAATGAATAAAGTATTAAAATCAACAGAATAAAAACTCTTTTCTTTCCCAAACACACTGTAGACTTCACAATATCATCTCATCAGATTTAGCAAAGTAAGGAGGACTGATCCAAGTCATCATTGGATCAAAACCCTTGCTCATTCGTAAGGTTGTCTAAGAATAGCACCTATGCTACATTCATTAACAATTATAAAATGTCTCAGTATAATTAGAGGACACTGGAGCTGCCAATTTTTGAATAGTACGTGACATTCAGGAAATAGTATTCATAATAACAACATCAGTTTAGAGAAACCATGGCAACTTTTTAAAAGACAGAGGGCCAAGCTTTCTGTTGATCAAATGTCAAATTAATTAAGTGCATTCTTCTTAATAGAATGTGTCCTGGAAATACATCCTTCCTATATTGTCTTGGTTGAGGAGCAGAAGGAGAGCACGCTGTTCATTGCTTGATTTCCTAAACTATGTAATAGTATTGCTATAACTGTTGAAAAGCTGCTATACATCATCCTGAGAGTGACTTTGTCTCATAGGTGGCTGAAGTAACATGTATAGAATACTCTAGGGTATTGTTTTGCAAAGACCTATTTTACAAGCAGCATCACTCTCTACAGAGAAGCAATCACTTCTAGGGTGTAAATTGGCAGTTATTTAATGAATACTGGCTAGCTAAGCCTCGTGAACATTGTATTTTGGGAATAGCACCTTTTGGAGTGACCCTCATAATTTATTACATCATCTAGCTAGGAGTTCATGCTTACTTGTCATCTTATTTTGACATTCAGTCCCCAGTAGAAGAGTATGAATGCTCTCCTGTCAAAATCAATGGCAAAATACTGAGTTAAATTCATCGAAAATAGATTTGGGCCTCTAATCAGATTACAGTAATGACTCAGGATGACTGACCTCCCTTCACGGTTTCAGATCAGGCAACAGTTTACATAATCAGAACAGCTTTTATCTTGTCTCTGCAGCTGAATACACTGTCAGTCTGCACGCAGCTGGAGCTGTGGTGGAGAGCAAGCTATGATCAGCATTGATCATTCCCATTTAGGAAGCACTCCCAGATCTCTACTCTGCTCATAAAGATGAAAGAAAATATATTATCAAACACTGTTATTACTTTACTCTAGAGCATTAACTGGTTTTGCAAAATATAATTTCCAAAAGAAATATTTTTTATTATGAGAGTGTAGTGTTAAACTGGTGCTAGCAAACAAATGAACAATACAATATGCTGATGCTATACTGAATGAAAAATGCTCCCATTAAAGTTAAAATCAATTTACATGGTATAGCCTGAGGGTGTGGATCTCTTCCGGGGCTTCTGGTTACTTTAGCAATTTTTTTCCTGCTACATAAGCAAGATTTTGCTTAATCCTTTCATTTAAAGCATGAGGATGGATACTGAAATCTTCAATACAGTAGGTTCATCCATAGGCACGAATGCCTCATACACACATAGTAAATCAAAGCACATAGCACTGTATGCAAAGGAAACATCAACCTACAATGAGTGTGTATGAAAATAAATTGGTATTTTACTCTGTTTCCTGATTTCGACAACATGAAACTCTTGAAAAATACCATAGTGTTTTAAAATAATAGCTATACTTATTTAAATGTATGTTCATGTTGCATTTGTTTGAACTTCCTGATATGGCAGATGTAAAGATATAGCAATCAGGATGCATTGTCAGAGAAGATGAGGTACATTCAATTAGCTGGGTTATGCTTCCATCCCACGATAATTAAATCACTTGCCATACATTTAATGCTAACAGAAGTGATAGGCATCTCTGCTGTGATCTGATGGTTTCCTGGCAAAAGCATATTCTCCCATATTAGCAGCTTCTATACAGCAAACAACCAGCTATCTTGCAAAGGACAGAAATAATAATTCCTGATACTATTGTCAATTATAAGAATTTACAAGACGGGACAAACAAGTACAGAGGAGGTTCTAAACAAAGCAATGTTTTTCAGTCTTTATATACGTAACAAACTTGTGTTGAACTTGGTCTACTGGAATATTAGAATAAATTCTCATTGAAACAATGCATTCAAAACCACTTCTTGCTTGGGACAATTTTGTTAATTATAAGCCTGGCCCTGTGGGCATTCTGTCCCCTCGATAGGATCAAGGCTCATGAACCAGCATAATGCTTTGCAAACTTTACCTCTGAGCTGCAAAGGAACTATGTCACCTGCAAACAGCATATGAAGATACCATATAAATAGTGCGACAAATAAATAAATGAACAAAGCAGCAAGATGTGAAGAGGTGACAGCAAACAAAGCTATGGGAAACTCAAGGTTAATTTCCAATGAAGAAGCGATACAGAAGCTTGGTTTCAGGAGTATGTCATATATTTTACGGCACTTTTGCAGTGTTTTTCTTTTAATAGATTTTTTTATAAACAGGATATTCTGATAAGAAGGAAATATACTTATTTAATATGACACATACTCTGTAATTACTATTTTTTTTTATGCTGGAAGGACTTCACGTAGCAATACAATCTCTGCTCAGCAAGTTTCAGTTTATGGCAGTAAATTAATCTTTACAAGCAACACAATAATAGTGAAACTGATCTCTAATTCTCGCTGTACAGTAAATGTTGAAGAAGAGAAAACAACAAGACATTATAAAGCAAAACCCAACCCCTTGAAAGTAGAGAAATGTTGTTTTTCTGTGTCATAGTTGAATAATAGTTGGACAGAAGAATCACTCTGGAGCTGGAAACCATAGTCTTAGTTTGAACTCGGAATTGTGTACAAAGCCCAAAAGATCAGCAGAGTCCAGACCTCCAGATTTTGGTCATCAGAGTAGTAATTGTTTTAATCTGTTTCTCTAAAATGCAACAGCAGAAAAACAAAATTAAAGAAAAGCCCTTGGACAATAACATTCCAAAAATAAATTCTACCAAGAAAATAATCTTTAGAAGTATTTACCTGTTTAACAGAAAAATATATACTTTGTATTAGGACTTATTTTATAAAATGTATTTCTAAGTTCTATATAATAAAGATGCCATGACTCACAGCATGATTTTCAAAATGTCACAAAATCCCTTTTAGGTATAACAAATTATTTTCAAAAAATTATAATTTAAAATTAATTTTTGTCCGTGAGCCACCTAATCATATAAAATTCTACTAGAATAGCTAAATGTGCAGATACACTGCATATTTAAGCTGACTGGAACAGGCGTTACTCTAAAATCCTGTTCAGAATAGTTTGACTGGGTAGCAATGTCTCTTTCAGCCTCAGAAACATCACTGATGAGAACCAAACATTTGTTCCCCCGAACAATGTTTCCTTACATTTTCAGTTGGCCAACTCTCTAGCTTCCAAACTTCCTGTAATTGGCCTGATTTTTTTCCAGCCAAAAAGAACTTTCTTAAAAATTCAAACTACACTTGAGAACTGCTAAGAATTACTTTACAATATTTCCTCTTAGCTTGCTGCGTAAATGACTACATTTCAATTACTTCCTTCCTCTGAATTAGATGGACTATTTGGCATTGGGGGAAACTAAGTAATTTTCACTCAGTGAAACTTTTAAATCCTGATGATACTATCAAACACTGCAATTTAGCACAATATACAAAGAGGTCATACATTACTACTACAGACAGTTCTATCTTTTTCTTTCCCCCCTTCTTTATTACCAGTATGTTTTCCCCTTTTTGTAAAACTGTTCTCATGAGACCTTATTTTACAAAGCATGGAGCGGAAAAGGCAAATAAGAGCGCTTCTGAGCCTTACATCCTAAAATGACAGAAAATAACTTAAATAAGAGTGGATGATATAATTGATTTGAGTGCCTACTCGTCATTTACCCTAAAAACCCAATGAAGCCTGGCAGCTCTGAGCACTGGGATCACATTCAATAACGGGAATTATGACAGAGTAATATGTTTCAAAGAAGTCTTATAGCAGTGTACTTTCCAGCTATATTATATGCTTATAGCTTAGGATTCTTTGGTCCAGGATTCCACACAATTATGGTATGGGCTTTTGGTAGTAACTGTGCTTGATTTTTCTAGATAACCTAGTAGCCACTGACAAGAGGACAAAAGAAGATTTGAGATCTTTAGTTAACGTTTAAGCCTAATAGCTACAGTAATTGATTAGTTCTCCATGGATTTTCTTTGGTCACTGAGGTGTGTACAGAGACTACAGAAGATTATTTTATTGTGTAATTTTCACAGCGCAGCAGGGTATCTTGACAAAGGGTTGGATACCACCCTCCTGACTAAAACCATGGGGGAGGGATCAGAGTGAAGAAAACTCAGAGAGCAGAATCACTCCATAACAAGCAGGGGGTAGGATTTTTCCTTCCTGAGAAAGAAGCAAGATTTCTGGCCCCACAACTTGTAGATATCTGAGATCTCCTGGGGGACAGAGTCATTTTTATGGAGAGTTATGGCTCACTTCAGCCCTAGAAGTATCACAGAGGCCTTACCCAGTTCCCTGGCTACTGAGCTCTATTTAATAGCTAACATATTAAAAAAAATCCTTGAAACAGTTATATAATGTTTACTGAACTAGAGTAGGACCAGAGGGTTAAGCAGCAAATACACAAGCAGTGCAAAGCTGGTTTTGTTTCAGGAGTGGATGCAAAGAATTTGAAAGTAGATATGGAGAGGATGAAGGTTGATGGCTTAAGACATCCTGGAAAAACAGTGTCTCCTTATTGTCCACAAATCAAGCTAGCATCGACCACAGCAACTGTCACAATCTCTTCTCACAATCTCTCCTATTCTACAGCTAGAACAGGAGTTGGTGAACCCCTGTTGAGGAGACCAACAGGAGCATGGACTGTGGAGATGGCTCAGGCAATTGCATCTACCAGAAACTAAACTGAGACTATCAGTGCATTTTCTATCTGCCATCCAAGAGACTGCAACTTGTATTTTGGTATGAACCAGCAACAGTCAGAAGAGGGCTCATTCAAATGCTGTTTATACATTTGACCTAGGTCTCAGTTATTTTCGTTTCCAAGTACATTTTAGTAATATCTTAACTCAGTCTCAGAAATCCAGACACGAGCTTGACTCTTCCAAACTCTAGGCCAAAGTCCTCTCAAAGTTCGCCTCAGTTGCAAGTACCTTGCGTGGACCTGACCTTCAGAAGGCGGATACTCACCACTTTCTAAATACACAACACTCAAAGCATCCTCCAACCAGATTAATAAAAATTAAGGCACTCAAAAATTGTTAGTTACTTTTGAAAATCTTGCCCATAACTAGAACAGACTGATTGACAAGAAAAACACAGGTAACCATAAAAAGATCCATGTGTTGCTGTGCTCAACGTACTTACAGTGTAAATTTTATTCCCATTCATAGTGACATAGTTAATGGTAAAAGGGTTTGCCCTTTATGTCCAGTAACCATATTTTACTCTATATCTCTAGAGAGCAGGAGTCTGTATAAGCAATGAGAGAGTAGAAAAAGAGTTGATGGATTACCAGTTTTTCTTCTGGTAGTGAATTCAGCTGTCTGGAATTGTGAACGTTAGTACAAGAGGAAACGAGATAGTTATCTTTTGTCAAAACTGTGATATAACAAATGTTAATATAATCTCAAAGGGAGGTGCAGTTCAGAATATTTTTTTTTAAAAGATAAAACATATCCTGAAACAAAGGCTGCTTTTAACTATGTGTAAACAGTCTTTGATCAATCAACTGAATCCTTAGAAAGGGATGATATATTGTAAAATACAACACAACACCCCTACAACAGTTGGGTAAGTGCTTAAACTTTGCTCACAGAAAGGATGCTAGTAGTTGTTAAGGGGACCCAACCAAAATTATTACAATGTAACTTGTTCTGGTTTTTTTTTTAATAAATTAGCACAGTCCTCTCCTTCTGGAAACTGCAATCAGTACAGATTAAAATGGATCAGTACTACTGCATTATAAATGCATCAGACATCAGATAGAAATTCCTCCTGAGGATTGTCTTCAGGTTTCATGGCTTTTCACTTCCTCTGCTGCATTCTCAGACAAACCTGTAAAGCAGAAAGAAGATGCTTAAAAATTCAGTGTACTTGGCAATTACATGCACTATATTGTTGATTCCATCAGTTTGTGAAAGCCTTGGTTATAGCTAGAGAAAAAAATTTATTACACGCAAAACAGGATAAAAACGTATAAATTGCAAATTCAAGCACTCACAAGTTCAGAAAATATAAAAATTTAAGACAAAAAAGGTGATTTCACATCAGCTCTTTTATACATATCATAGATGATAACAGTCCAAGTTATAAAATCATAAATTACTTTTGCATCAGAAAAAAATGACAGAACAACTGGGGATATGATCTGAGACACAGTTACTCCAACCTCCTTGCATTTTTCCTGTCTCTTTTTCTGGGTAGAACTCATAATACAAATTGCAAAACAATAGAAAATTGACTCCATAAACTCATTAGTAAGGATATACTTTGTGTATATATATGTATATGTATATATATATACATATATATATATATATGATACATGAGTATCAGCTTGGGGAAGGGGAAAAAAGCCAAACTCTTGTATTGAAGATAACTTTTGCCTTAAGCCAAGAGAATGAGTTTCCTATTTTTAAATATTAGTTCAAGAGATTAATCAGTCTTGAATAGGATAATAATATTTGCAATAATTAACCTGACAGAATTTGAAAGGGGTATAGAAACTCATAAAAATGGCTTGGAATATCTAGGGAGAAAAAGAACAGTGGATAGTCACACAAATTTGTATACATACATATTTGCATGACCTAAATTAAAAGTGATTATTTCACCCATCGGACTTTTACATATCCACACCTAGTTTAGGTTGAAAACAACTCAACTTAGATCCTTTTCTAATTAATATAAAGCAATCTAAAATAATTTGGAATCATCTCCAAATGATATATGAATAATAATAAAAATTACACACAGATTTTATGAGGTTTGTTTTGATATCTTTTTTTTTTCTTTATGAGCCTTCTTCCCTGAAGAAGGCTGAAATCCCCACACACCTAGCAAAATGATCCAGCAGGTCAGTAGAATAAAATTTGAGCATCCAGGTGTTCTAATCCAAGCCATCAGTCACCTGTCAGCCTAACCGCTTTCACAATAATGTTCACACAGAATTAGCACAAACAACCTGCATAATTCTAAAAAATTATGCTTTCATTTACATCTGTTCTATTCCATATGATCAAAACCATCTAGATTTCTTTTCCAGTTTTTATTTTACACTTCCAATGTTTTTGGTGCTTGGGAATTTTAGTATTTACAATTGTTTTCATGGGTGATGGTACTAAACTGAACAAATGTTATTTCAAGCCTTGAGATACAAAAGACTAAAGCAGTAAAATTTCAGCAACAGCTGAAAGCCCAAGGCCCCAAAGGGCTAAGACGTTCCCTTTACTGAAGTTTCTATTATTTATTTTTTTTAAGGACAATTAAAAATACCATGGTAAGAGCTGACTTGGGTTTCCAAAGGTCAGCTCTCAAATGGCAGTTCTTTTGTTCAAAACTCTTATCACGCTGGGATACCAAAGGGACCGGTAGCAGGTCCCACCCTGTTTCATTAATGTTCATGGGGAAGGAGGTAGGTAGCATGATAATGAAATTTGTGGATTATAAGAAACCAAGATGAGCTTCAAACGCTGGGGAGGAGAAAGAAATATTGCTCTAGGACTAAGAAATTAACAGATCTGAGACAAGATAAAAGGAGATACCACTTGAAATACATCGTGGAAATAACAAAATTAAACACAGATATTTGCTGAGAAAAGCCCTCCAGAAGTAGCACAGTGGAAAAAGTTGTTTAAGACATGTATTTGCAGTAAAATACCCCATGTAGTTCAATGCAGTGTAGAAAGCACTGCTAAACTCACAGTTAATACTGTTCCTGATTACATAGCTTTGTTGAGATCACATCTGCAGCTGTTTACAGCTCTGCATTAAAAAACTACCAGAGAATATCTTACTTTCCCACCATAATCAAGGAAAAGAGTAAAAGAATTATGAAACTGGCTGCTGCACACTCTTATAAAAGCTGGACTCGGACATAGTGCAGATGAGAAACAGAAAAACGGAGCTATGATTATGGTCAGCTCTTTGTACCTGAAGAGAATGACTGCAGATTTACCAGAGACTAAGAGTCTACTAATCTGTGCATTAGCATTGCACACTTAAGACATGATACTGCCATTGCACAGTGCTCTCAGCCTCCCTGCCTTTGAGGACTGGCTGGCTAGAGGACCTCTAAGAAGCATAACAGAACAGAAAATAAGAAAGGGAGGTTTAAAAAAATATCATGGAGAAAAAAGCTTCATGAAAAGCTTTTAATATCCTAATGCATCTTTTCCTTTATTGGGCTGAAAACATGGCATATTAAAAATTAAAATGTAATTATAAATTTACGATGTAAAAAAAAATGTATTTGAGCCAAAAAATTAGTGCCCAAGATCCTGCTTTCAAAATCAGTTACTTCCCTGACATCAATTTCTTACAAATTACTCTTGTGTCTATTTCTACAAACTGCCATATCAAAATGAACCATGCAAATGGTTACTTTCAAGCTCATGAAACATGGTGGATCCACTAAACCTAATGCATTAACTGTAATTATGGACTGGCAGAAGTGAAGTTATATAGTGGGATTTACCTCAGGTTTACAAAAGTTTGCCCAACAGCACAATATATGGCTATAGAGAACCTGGAATACTTCGGCATGGATCAAAGAACTACTACATGTGTAAACTGTGGGAGAGGTGAGCTGACAGGTGAGGGCACAGAATGCAGCTATTTTTATTGTGCAACTCCAAAATGGGAGGCAGCATAGAATCATGAAAACATGGCTTGCAATAACCAGCCTTCCCACCTCTACTCTGTACTTTTTCAACATGAAATATTTATTAGTCATCTAGGAGAAAAACATAAATGTCACATTGATCAAACTGGCACATGCTACATTATAGCAGATGAGATAATTAACATCAGAGAGGTTTCCCATCAGCATATTCTGACAAGCTTAGGCAGATCCTAAAAAATACAGGGTATAAATAACAAATTCTGCAGATTAAGTCTCCTTTACATCATTTCATCAGGGAAAAAAAGAGCTTCCTTTCATCTTCATATCCCCCGTTATAAAGTTCTCAATGTTTCATTTTATAGTTCATCCAAAAATACTATCAGAATAACACTGGTCTGAGCACACACACTTAAAAAAATATATATTTAAAGGTTTATATCTCTATTTATCAGCACAGCTACAAACTAGGAAGCTGCTTTTGGAAATAATCATGATAAATTTTAACTCTGCACTAGGCAACTCCATGCAACTCCAAGAAAGTTTGGAGGTCATTTTTCAAAACAGAGTCAAAATACATGCTTAAATTATTAACCCAATTAGTAACACAGTATTAAGTATATCAAAACAGTCACTTAAATCCCTCAAATTTTGTTTATTTGTTAATCAGAGGACATCAGCACCCTCAGAAATCAGATCCTATAAACAAAGACACAGAATACCTCAGTAATGTTAATTTGCCTCTTGAAAAGCATGATTAATACACACATATCATTGAGTCACATGAAGTTCATTTGTAGATCAGAATGTACTTTTGAGCCTTGAAAACCAAAAGTTCAAAGAAAATCAGTTACCGTGACAGAAGCACCAAAGACAGCTGAAAATCCCCAACTTTCCTGGAATTATTATTCATGTAGTTAGAGGGGGAAAAAAAACAAACAATGACACATTTAAAGGGAGAGATGGTATTTGATCATGGTGGCAGAAGGGAGGAGAAAGGATCATTTTCTGTAGTCATAAATTGTTCACACTAATCATGATGGTGTAAGGTTTAAAAATGCTCAGGTTAAACAATTAGGCAATGGAAGAAACTACCCAGGGAAGTGGCTGAGTCAAGGATATGAGAAGATTGCAGAAATAGGGTAGATGAAATCTAGTGGGGATTACTGAAAAGGAAGATACACAGGTTTTGAATTGGATGACCTAAAGGATCTTCTCCAATCCTATCATTTATGCTGCTATGATTCATCCTAAGGAGAACATTTTGGACTCATATGAATTACTGGCTGAGTTTCCTGGATGCTATTGTACATTAGTCTACTCTAAAGCATGCATAAAACTAAGTCAAAGTTGGCTTTGAAGTGTTTGATCTGCAATATCCAATACTTCCAGTCTCTTTTTCATACAGTGACTCAGAAAAAGGGCTGTTATAACAAGACAAAAGTTATTTTGAATTCAGATTAAGTTAGAGAAGGGAGGCACCCTGTTCTGCAGCTATTCCCACCTAAAAGAGGAAAAAAACCACCCCATCTCATGGCCTGATGGTTAGTATTGCTATGTCTAGATCTGACATAAAACAGCTTTAGAACAAACTACTGCTTAATAGTAACTGTTTTTCATAAAATTTTGGATCCAGAACTAAATGTTCCAAATGACCAAAGTTAATAGCTTTTTGATTTTTTGTTAACAAAAGATGACAGATCTTTCCCAGCACCTTCAAGATATATTTCTGAAAATCATAATTCTCTTTTTAAGAATGCTCATTTATTCACTGCTAATAATTTTCTTTATCATTACAAATTGGTTGAGGAAATGTATACAGCTTCCTTTTTCTTAGTATTTAATCTTCATTCCATGAACACAATCCAAAGGGGTTTTCAGAAGTCTAAGAAAGTAACAGTGTATTGCTTATCCCAAACAAACTAACCCAGTTTAGTTAGAGTGCAGAATGGATTAGTGTAAAATCATTAACTTCAGTGCAGTGCAGAAGATTGATCACCACGATGGACAAGTTACAAACTTTCCTACACTGCCTAAATGAGAGAAACTGGACTTGACTAGTATTCTGTACCACTTTTTATAGGCTAATAAACTGAGAGTGAGCCTCACCATTGCCTCCCCAAGTCACCAATGAGTCACTGATCCCTGCAAACATAATTTTAAAATGCTCAGATTTTTGTATCTGAAAGTGGAGTGATGGTAGCTGAATGAGCGG